GGACAAAAATAGTTGATTTTACCATTTTCTACTTACCATGTTTGGCATTCTGGCAGGGATGCTCATCTTGTGTAAAGTACCACATTTTACTATGCTTAGTGTTGCTGGGTTGTGTTTGTCTACATTATTAGAGTGAATTTTACTTTTTTCTTTTGCCTACCATTCATGAGAATAGCAGTTCATACCACATGGTGTGTTACCAACTTATAGGTTATGGGAAAGCAGTTGTTAATACTTCAAAACCACTTGAATTAAAATGTATCTAGGGCGAGTAGTACTTTCAATTTGAATGAGAAGTTCTTAGAGATTTGGGAAGAAATCTTAAAATGTCTATCTTGATTTATATAGAAACTATTTCAGAGGAGTTAGATAAATATCAATTTTGTATAAATCTAGTGATTTTTAATGCACTAGCAGTATTTGCTCTCCTTAAAGGAGCACACAGTGATCTTTTTGTGAATATAAATATTCTCAATAATCTTGACCAGCTGAGGCAGGGTGGAGCCAAGGCCCAGCCTCTTACTGAACTTTCAGCATATTGACTTTTCAAAGCCTCTGTTTTCTTATCTCTCTAAAAGCAAGATGATAAGCAACTAGTTACTTAGTAATTCTTTGGAGAAAAAAATACATAGTTTGAATTTAGAGTTGATTTTATGATGATGTACTTAGGTAACCATTCAAGTTGTTTGATAAATTTATTTCTATATCCTAATTGAGACCTTTGACTATATATTTTCTCCCTTTTTTCCTGCATCACTTTCTTCCCTTCTCCTTCCCTGTTTTTTTTTTTTTTAATTCTGTGTTTACCTCATCTTCCTCTTTATAGTTTCCCCCAATTTTTCTCTTTTTCTCCTTTCATTCCTCTTCCAGCTCCTCTGCTTTCATCTATCCCTTGTTCAAAAGAAGCAGAGCTGTTAGTGGTGGAACCACTGCCAACTACCTTTCTATTAAATGAGTCTCTGGAAATGCCTTCTACTTTGGCCACTGCTGCTTTTTTGCAAAGGTGAAGTCCTCCTGCCATTTCGCAATAGCTGAGCAAGTTAAAGTAATTTGTGACTATAGCTCCTACTGTCTTTCTGAATCCACAGGATTTCAGCAGCCAGGAGGCTCACAAGATGGGATTGCTATAAATATGATGAATTCGGCAGTTAAACTTGGAACAATCATGTCTCTTCTGTTACGTGGATAGAGAGATGATACCACTTTTCTCAAAAGGGAATCTTTGAGGTGATTTTGTTTTTTTTGGAGGCAGATGCTTTGAACTATTTTAGATTTGTGTTATTTAAATATTATTTATTGATTTATAATTTTTGTAATGCCTTCTTTCAAGGACCTGAGGTAGCATATTGCCCATGTATTTCAGCTGTTTGTATTTTTCTGTTGCAAAGCAGTATTCTTATGTTGTGGTACTCACCTTCAAGTCTTTCTAGAGTGTATTTGGTATCCAATACTTGGTGTCCAGTGCTTGGTGCTTAAAGTATACAGAGGTCAGTTGAAACATTCCTAATTACACTGTGGGATTGATTCTAGCCCCTCCGGTAAGGAAAAGAAAATTATTGTGCCCTTGAATTTGGAGACCATTTTCAGTTGCTGCGAATGTAGTTAGACCAAGTTTTATTTTAAACTAACATTCAGTACATAGTGCAGCCAGGGAAGATGTGCGGAACCATGCCATTATTTGGGAAGCTATTGTGGAATATAGTAACAACTGCTTCTTTCTATGAAGTTTTACTAGCTGGGAGAAAAATTCCAAAGCTATAATATTGCAATCTTACTCTTTTTATCTAGAAAAATAAAATATCAGCCTTCAGATCCAACTGTGCAAATTGTATTTGCTCTCCAGCTTTTACTACCTCTGTGTCATAATTTTAACACGTAACATACAACTCCTGTCTCTTAAGGCAGTTACCATATGGTGTTTATGTCAGACTGGATATATTTATCTAATTTTGTGAGTTTCTTTTTTAGCTCCCAACACAGTTCTTGAAAGTAATACTGCTGTTGTTACACTTTCTCCTTAAATTTTTATGTTGTTGAGATGTATCAGTTATGTATTATAATCGTGAAAGTCTCTTGGCCTCAAACCCAAGTTTTCTTTGTGGACTAGAAGAGATTTTTCACAAAAACTGCTATTATACCACTCAGCACAATTCTAGGTTTTTAATTATGTTCCAGCAGTACTAGTTTTCTCAGTATAACTTAAAATCACAACCACTTTGAGAATTTACTCTCAGATCTGATAAACAGTGCACTTTATCTTTAATATACTTTGTGTTTGCTTTTTCTTCCCTACTGGGTCCAACACATTAGTGACACCTCCAATCATTGACTCTTTGTAAAGACTTCATAAGTAATGATTCAGATATGTTTAGGATGGCTTACACATACAGTCAATTTAGAAGGACTTATAAAATAGAATAATGGAGATGTGATTTGAGAGCTTTGAAACTATTAACATAAAATAAAAAAAGAATATACAGTCAGAAGGACATTATGAAATCTCAGCAATTTTGGAAAGAAAGTAGATTTAGAACTTGGTGTAAAAATTCTAGGTCAAGTAAAAAACAATGCTCATGTGGATTAGAATCTTTTAATCATATCTGTTGTTTTATGAACATTCCTATTTATTTTTAATTTAGTGAGGCTAATTTTGAGACTGCCTGTCTATAGCTGTGCCAGACCATCCCTCTACCTCTCAAAGAAAAAGTTTGTTAAAAAAATTTTTTTTTTAGAACCTGGGTTGTGTAATAAATCTTTGATACTGAAAAATTCCTACATAGTATTTATAGCAGTCAGGTGTAGTTACGATAATTTTTCTAGTTTCCAATTTTAATCATTTCTGCAGGACTACCTACATCCTTCCTTTTAACCCTCACAGCAGGCCTGCGAGGAAGGTGGTAGTCCACTCATTTTACAGAGGAGGAAGTCAGCACTTAGGCTGAGGGCACGTGCCTAGTCACACGGCTAAAGGCACCGTGAATTAGCACGTCTCGCTTCAAATGCAGTACTTCCCACTACAACATGCGAGTTTCATGTTTTACGAAAAAGATCTCACTCTATTAAAATCCAAGCTTTACCAAAATACAATACTTTTTAGACAGTTTTCTATGACTAGGCATTGGGACAAATACGCTTGAACATAACAAAGAACTTCAAATACTGTGAAAAAAAGCTTTGTCTAATCACTATGACCTCAAGAGCTGCGCTGGGTTTTTCTTTTTGGTTCAGGACAGTTTAAAACTTACTGATTTGTCGGTTATAAGCGGTTATAGTATAAGCAATAGTGTAGTGATTAAGAGCCGAGAGTCTGGGCCAGACTTCCCAAGTTCAAATCTGAGCTCTGTCATTTAGTAGATGCATGACCTTGAGCAAGTTAATTAACCTGTTTTGGTTTCCTCATCTGCAAAATGGACTTAATAGTAGTGTTTAACTCCTAGTTAGTTATTAGGATTTTTAAAGGATTGTTGGAAAACACTGTCCCTGGCATCTAGGTGGTGTTGCATAAATAAAATACAAGTTTGAGACACATCATTCAAAAAATGGGCAGAAAGCCAATGCCTTCTCACAAAGGGACCAACTTTTTGCCTTTTACTGGACAACCACTGCATATTAAGAATCTACTATATGCTCATAACTGTGTCCTTGCTGTATGCGACAGAAGTCATTAGGGGCTCTCAGATGCTTTTAGCTAGTTGAGGAAACCACATAAAATGATACTGAACACCACACAGTATATAATTAAGTACTCATGTGTCGTTAATATTTTAGCTCCTATTATGTTAGGCATTGGATAAGTCTCTGCCCTCATGGAGTTTACAGTTTAGTGAGAAATACAGACTTTTAACAAGTGTGCAAAGTACTGTGAAAGGCAAGTATAGATAAATATGGGATCATAAAGTAGGGAGCCTTAGCCTCGTCTTCTGTGGTTCAGGATATTATTGCTGTTAGGATTCAGAAGGAAGATCGATAAAGAGGAGAAAACTCAGTGGTGGAGATGGAATTGAAAATGGGCCTTGATGGCTAGGTATTTTGGGATGGGTCCAAAAGATACTGGAAGGTATTTCAGGTAAAGACAAATAATGTGAGTACGGCACATGTGTGAAATAAGAGGAAACTGATGGAACATTTTGGTGTGTTGTGTGAAAAACAAGGTTGACTGTGAGGGATTGAGGCCCATTCATGAAATTCTTTGAAAGCCAAGCCAAGAGTAGTTTAGATTTGAACTGGCAGGAGTTTGGAATGATTGTTTTGAGGAGTAATTTATGAAACTAAGGAAGATAAACTTGCAGTGATCTGCAGGAAGGAGTGGAGCGAACATAGATTAGGGAAAGCTACGGTTGGAAGCTGTTGCGATTTTCCTGCTGTGAGGTCTTGATGAAAGATTAGCTGAGGGTGGTCACATTTGGAAAGGATGCTTAGATTCTGGGTATTATGGGTGGAGGAAAATAAAGAGTTGATGATAACTGCACACTGTGTCTGGATGATGACTACTTGATGTCAGCACTAATCAAAAACAGGTTAATTCTGGAAAGGAATCTGATAGAATTAAAGTAGTGTAATGACTAAATTTAGTTGGTACGTTACTGCTCTAATGTGTCCGTATACTGTAGACCAATCAACTATTTAATGACCATTTGCAAATCTGTACCATGATGACAAAGGACATTTGCTATGGTGCAGGATGATGCGGTCCACGGTGCGGTGAGTGAGTAGTGGGGGAGATGCCACCACAGCCGGATCATCACTTAGCAGGACACGGTGGTGTGAATCATAATGAAACTATCGCATTAGGGAAGTTTCTATAGACTTTCTGGTAAGCATCACCGTGATGCATAGTCGAGTAGGCTTTGTCAAATAAAGCATTTAATTACAAGTGTTCTATCTACACAAAAATATGTACATGAATATTGTTAACTGCAAATAGTTCAGATTGGACATCCCGGGCAAACTACCTTCAGCAGTTACTTTAAAATGTGTAGAATAAGCATAACACTGAGATCTGTCAGTCAGAGCACACATCGGAGTGTATTTTATTTTCTGAATTTGCAAATTACATACAAATGTTATTTATTTTGAAACATGTCAGGCAGGATGCTTTTTAATTTGAAAACTTGTTCTTCAATTAGTGTCCCATCAGCAATATCATATAAAATAGAAAGGAATCTATTCTTTAGATTAGATATTAGATATTAATAGAATATTAGAAAGGAACCTAATCTTTAATTTGCAGTGAGACTCTTGGCTGAGCGAATCTGTTATCCAAAATTCTATTGTGCTGGTTTAAAAACGAGAAAAATCTTACTTTTCCGAAAAGGAATTATACATGGATGTCCTTTCTGCGTCGTTGCCAGGTTTTGGAGTCTGAACATTAGTCCTCTGGCCTCTAAGCAACGATCAAAGTCCCGGCACAAGGTCAGTCCCAAGTCCGAACACTCTTCAATTCCTCCATTCCTTACTTTTGTTATGTGCAGTCTGGATTTTCAGGAGCGTGATGACTAATAAGAATGCTAGATTTCACAGATAAAAATATAGGACGCCCAGTTATATACCAAAAAAGTATTCGTTTATCTGAAATTTGAATTTAACTGGATGTTCTGTATTTTATCCGGCAACCCCTGCTTACTTTTTCTTTTAAATGATTTCTTAACTTCCTACAAAAATCCTTAAATAGGAGACAAAAAAGTAACTCGCCCGGCCCAAGAGCAGATGATGCTCAGGGCAGTCGGCCTTCTCCCAAACTTGGCCTTTTAAAAAAAAAAACAAACCGCCCCCCCCCGCCCAAGTCCCAGGAGCCTGCGCGTTAGCGCGCGCCGGGCAGCAGCTTTCCCGCCGGTTTCCTGCGGCCGGGAGCTGGGCCACGCCGCGGGGGGGGCGCATGGGGCCGTGGCCCTGCCGGATGGAGAGGAGGCGCCGGAAACCTTACCCCTGGCCGGGCACAACGTGTCCCCTTCGACGGCGGTGAGTACCGCCATCTTTTTTGCGGGCAGAGACCGGGGAAGTGAGGGCCTCCACAGTGCCCGGTGAAGCGGGGTGGGGGGCACGGCCCGCAGCTCGAGCGCTTTGGTGACGTGGAACCGGGGTACCCCCTCTCGGAGCTGAGTTCTCGTGCCAGTCGAAGCTTCCGAGGTGGGGAAGGGGCCGCCGCGGCGCTCCCGGATGTAAGATGGCGGCGCGGGGGGCGGCCGGCGGCGGTCACGTGGTGGGCCGCGCGCCGCCTTAAGGGATCTCTATGGTTCGTCCTCACGCACAGCGGCCGGGCGCGCGGGCCGGGCCGTGTGTCCCCGCCGCGCCGCCGCGCGGACCGGCTCCGGGGCTTGCTTTGTTTGAGGCCCGCCTCCTGCAGAGGTGGCCGCCGCTGCCCCGCAGGCTGCGGCGGCCGCGGGGCCCGGGACTTCCGCGCTGTCCGGCGGACGCCTCTGGGGCAGCGCCCCGGGCGGGCGTTCGCGCGCGGAGGGCCGGCGGGCGCGGGGCGGAGGCCCGGCCCCCAGCGCGCAGACGGGCGGGAGGGGCGCGGCGGCGCAGCCGGGACGTGGCGGGAGGCGGCGGGCCGGCCCGAAGCGGCGGCGGCGGCGGGCGGGGCGCTTTGTGCCTCCCGCGGCGTCCGCGCGCTCTCGCCGCCCGTCTCCTGCCCGGAGGGCCCCGGGCGTGGAGGGCGCGGCTGGCCGCGGCGAGCCCCGCCCGCCTCCCCTTCCAGAGCGTCGGGCCGGCGTGGGGCGCGCCCGGGTCCCGAGCCGGCGGGCGGGCGGCGGGGAGGAGGCGGCGGCGGAGCAGGAGGACGGAGCAGCGCGGCGCGGCCGCCCGACACCATGGCCCTGGCTGAGGTAGTAGTTTGTGCTGTTGGTCGGGTTGTGACACTGCCCGCTGTGGAGATAACTGCGCAAGCTACTGCCTTGCTAGTGCTGGTGATGCTCAGCGCCCGCGCGACCGTGGCTGCGAGTCCCCTTTGTGTCCCGGGCCGCGGGGACACGGCGGGGCCCGGCCGGCCGCCGCGGGACCTGAGTTCGCGCTCTCCCGGGGCGAGGAAGGGATCGCGGGCCGAGGGGGCCGGGGCCGTTTCCCGGGTCGGGGCGGGCGCTGCGCCCTCGGCGGCGCTGTCGCTCCTGCACGAGTGGCCGTGCGCGGCGGCGACACCGGTGCCCCGAGCGGCGCGGCGCCTCCCCGCGGGGCGCGGCCGTGTCCGTCCTGCCGTCCTGGGCGCGGGCTCCCTGCGGGCGGGCGGGGCGGCCGCGGACCCGCTCGTCCCCGAGTTCGTGCCGCAGCCTTCCACATCTGGGTTTCATATGTTCTCTCGGTAAATGTAAGAGTTTCTAAAATGTAAACCTAAAGCGATTAAAAGTTTCTGTTTAAACTTTGTTTGCAACTCCGTGATTGAGAAGATTGGATTTGTAGTTAAATGCCCTGTTGAGATTTTTTCGTGTGCGAGGCAAGCCAATAAATTCTTTCCACAGTGTGCTGTGCGTGGTTTGGTTTTTTCTTTTCTTTTTAGTTTAACTTTGGGGGCTCACGTTCTGCTAGTGTGGTGGGGGTTTTTTTTGCTTTTGATTATCATGTTATAGGACAATTTTTTATTTGTATCGTTGCATTTTGGTACGAGAGGAAAGAATCTAGGTAGAAGTTAAGAGTATGATTTCTGGGTACTTTGGGCTTAAAATCGAGTAACGCCCATTTTGATTCTTGTGGTACCGCTGGTCCAAATAGGAAAATACAATTTTCATAAAGAAAATGTAGTTTCGATAACTAATGAAATTACTTGCTATTATAAATACCCTGGAGTCTGGTTGGAGAAGAAGATAAGAGTAATTTTTTGTTCTTAGTTTCACTGAGATAAATCGGTGGTAAATTTTAGTAATCTTAAAAGACGGATCTGGTTTTGATTTGCTCAGAATAATTAGCTTTGAATGTAACGTAATCACAAACGATTTTCTGTGGTTTAATTTTTGATGCTTAATTGAAAAAAAAAGGACAAGTATTTACTACGAAAAAGGCACGTGTAAGGAGAAAAATGTTTTAAACCAGCCGAATCCTTTTTGTCCCCTTGGATAGGAGTCTGTGGTTTTGTGATTCAAAAGTGGTCTAATAAGTGCCGAGGGTTGGTCTGGTCAAGCTTTGAGAGGACCTTGCTCAATCTGATCTCATCAGGATGGAGCTGCCTCATTGTGGGAAGGACAGTAAAGAACCTTACGTTGAATCTTAAAATGCAGAAAATACTTGGAGGTTGGCTCTTTGAGTTTGCTTTTCTTGATATCAAGGAGCAAAGTAAGTTCAGGACTTAAGTGCCAGGATTTTTAAATGATTAAAATCTTAGGATGTTATGTCAAATCTTGATTTATGGAGAAACTCATCATAAAATTCTAACTGTATTATAATTTTCATTTTCCAAAACACTTCATTCAGCCAGCCAACCTAATTCTCATCCAACGGAGGTGGTCTTCTTTCCCACTACACTCTGACATTTTATAGAGGATCAACAGTTGTTAATCTACCCGAAAGTATTACCAGTTCTGTCGGTAATTTATTGAACTGCATGGATCAGCAGATAGGAAACTGTACTGTGCAGACAAAGTAGTCGTGGTTTATTCTTTACTCTTCAAGTAAATTTCATCCAGAACCATACGTTCCCCACATGGTAGGAACATTTTTGAGTCTTAGACATAAAGATGCTTCCCTATGTTATTGTTTGCTAAGTTGCAACAGAAGATACTGCCCCCAGCCGACTTGCTTTTAATACCATAGTTACACTTCTGCCCTAAACTCCAGTTTTAAAAATGAGTTGCCTTTCACTCTTACATTTCTCTCCACACGAGTGAGAATTACCTACAGAACGTTTTTGCTGTTGACCGTTTCCTACAAGATGTATTTGGCTTATCAAAAGTACAACTTTCCAGTCCTGAGATTTTTTGACATTTACTTGGCACAATTAACTTTTTTGTTAAAGGCCTGTTGTCAAGCATTTAAGTAATTTGTATTAGCAAACAGCCATTGATGGGAAAGGATAAGGCAGTATTTTGGAAGCCTTTCTCAGTAAGTACCGACCACAGGAAAGCTGGGTTGTGGTAATGACATTTTAATAAATGTCATCCCCAATTATTGAAAATGTGGATGTTACTGTATGTGAGATATCTGGAGAAGATTCTTGGGGAACACAGTTTTGCTGCACGCCCTTAAATTAGACTATCCGATTGTTAATCTTACATATAAAAACTTTGTAAGCTGTTTAAAAATAAAGTTACCTTTTAGGGGGTCGATAAGACTGACCAGCAAGGGTTCACTCAAGACATCCTGTGTCTTGTGGAGAAGCCTCAAAAGAATTCTTGCCAGAGGAAGCTGACAGCAGATTAGCTCTTGAGTGTGGGAACAAGGTGCCAAGAGGCTGTGAGATTTCTCCCTAACTACGCATCTCCCCGTGTTGTTTATTACAACCCCACCCCTCCGCAGTATAGAAACCCAACAAGGGAGGTGCCGTTACTTTACTTCCCCTCTGAACACACTATAATTTCTGCAACAAAAGGAAAATAGGACGATCGTCTTCAAAAGTGAATTAGGCCAGATTGGTAATACCCAAGAGGAGAATTATGACCATTGTCCTAAAATCAAAAAAGTCATCGGTGCCACTGACATCTAGATGGTTAAGGCAAGGATGCTAAAATCACCTGAATGTCCGATGCAGCCCGTGAAGTGTTTTTGTTAGATTCTCTTTCTTACGCACCATGGGGAAAGCAGAGTAATTGTATGGCCCAGGTCACTCCCCCAAAGGAAAAAGCAGTCAGACAAGATGAAGGGCGTAAGAATCAAAATGTGGGCAGGTTGAGAAAAGCGTTAGTGACCTAGTTCACCTTTGAGACCTGGCAGAAAGAAAGTGGGTGAGAGCGCTGAGAGGGAGAAGTGTGGAGCACCCAGAATAAATAGATCCTGCGGCCTAGAGAGGTCTCGTGCCTATGTGCGTTGCCTTCGGTGGTCACTCGCCAAGTAGAATTGCGGTCTTCGGAGATGAGCAATACGATTGTAGTTGATACTTGGTGATGCCCTGGGGGGGGGGCGTACATTTTAATTTTGTATTTTCTGCTACTAACATGCTGAATTTAAGAGAAGTACTACTAGTTTCACATGGAATATAGCGTGCTTTCTTCTTTCAAGTTGAGAGTTAGATTTTTTGGGTTAAATTTTCATTTGACGGTCACCCTTCTTTAGAAGTGCTGTTTTGTTCAGATGTAATGGAATTCTGCCCACACAGACTTCAGGCTACTCAATTTGTGAATAGGATCTTTTGAAGCCGTGCCATTGACACAACAGCATGGATTTGGTCTTTTAATTATATGAAATATGAACAAACCTAAGATATGTCTTGTTTTGATTTTTAGAGAAGTTCTTAGTTCTTCATCCTTATTCAACCTCAAACAACACTTTCTGAAAATAGACCATTTATTTCTAGTCAGGTTTCAAATTCCATTAGTTCCATTATGATATAGTTAAGAGTGTTTTATCCTGAAGGTCAAGGTTTCTCAGAAGGCTAAATAGTATCAAATGTCACAGAAAAGTCGAGTAAGTTAGGGATTAAAAAGTGTCTACAGACATTGGCAATGTAGGTCATTCATGTAGTTGAAGTGTTATGTTTTCCGTTGTAAGTGAAAAATCTATAACTGCCATCTAGTTGAGTAACAAATACGAGGACGCATGTTTCATACCACTTTAACCATAACTAACCAAAAAGTATTAAGATTCAAAGGTTGCTACTTCAATATTCTGCGCACACTGTATTTTAAAGCCTTTATTAAACAGAAAAGCATTACATAGATGCAGGCCAGGGGCTGATGGTAGGAATAGTAACACTGACTTGATGGTACCCGAATTCATGGCAGAAAGAGCTCACTAAACTCTAAAAACAGATAAAAACAAATGGAAATGTATTTTCTTGTTCTTTAAAAACAAAGTTACACACAATGAAGATTTTAGGTGAATTGTCAGTAAGAATAAGAATCCTGTCTGCCACTAATTTCTTTTTTAGTGAATAAAACACACACAGATAAATGTTCCAGGTAAACCCATTTATTCATTTTATTTATTTAACAAATATATTGAGTACCTACTATAAACCAGGCACTGGGGATACACAGTAGACTAAAACGAACAAATCTCTGCCCTTAATGGGATGTGTATTCCCATGGGAATGCATTGGCCTGTGATAGTAACAGACATGCAATGAGCGCCATCCAGGGGCCACCTGGGTGGTTTTCAAACTTGAGTTCCCGCTCAGGTGCCTACTCTAGGGCCCTTGCTCCAGAGACACTAGTGGTATAGCGGTTGTGTTTAAAAAAAAAAAAAAAAAAAGCCATTTTACCACTGATTTTTGTTATAATTGTACCTGCATTAAAGGAAATTTATAGGGGCTGGCCAGGTGGCACAGCAGTTAAGTTTGCTGGTTCCACTTCAGTGGCCTGGGGTTCCCTGGGTTCGATCCTGGGTGTGGACGTGGCACCACTTTCGAGTCATGCTGTGGCAGGCGTCCCACGTAGAAAGTAGAGGAAGATGGGCACAGATGTTAGCTCAGGGCCAGTCTTCCTCAGCAAAAAGAGGAGGATTGGCGGCAGATGTTAGCTCAGGGCTGATCTTCCTCAAAAAAAAAAAAAGTTTATAATAGTTTAGTCCCACTAGAGCATCACAAAATGTGACATCTGGCTATGCATAGTCTTAAGATTTCTCCACAAGGTAGTGAGATATCACATTGTGTGATGTATATTCTAAATGTTGTAAGAGTTCAAAGAAGCAAGAGTGCACTCTTGAGTCGGGCGTGGAGCTGGCCTCATAGAGTGTGCTCCCCTGGAGCAGAAATGTCAGGTGATTTTGATGGTACAGTAATGGAGAGCCGATTATGAGTCTTGCCAGGACGGAGTACAAGAGAGAAAGAATCAAGTCTTTATCCTGTCTCATACAAACTACATCTCAGGGTAACTAAACAATTGTGAGGGAGATTTTCTCATAGGTTAATCCCAGTGTCAGCCTGAAAAATAATATAGCCAGTTATTTAACCAGCAAAGTGAGTTTATTTGGGAATAGCAGAGGAATTGACATTTAAAACATGCAAACTATGAGGAACATAGACAATCCGGAGAACAGAGGAGATGATATTGCTTTTATAGAGGAAAGGAGGAAGTTGGGAAGGGTCGTTTGAATGACAGTTCATTGGAGGAGAGCAGGAGTTCGAGTTGTGACATCTCGTTGGCTGAGTTGTGGCAGTTTGTCACTGGCTGGGTTGTTGCTTGGAAAGGAGAAAA